TGACAAGGTTTCACCATGTTGGCCAGGCTGGTCTTGAACTCCTGACCTCAGGTGATCCGCCTGCCTCGGCCTCCCAAAGTGCTGAGATTACAGGCGTGAGCCATCATGCCCGGCCTCTTTCTTTCTTTTTTTGAGACAAGAGTTTGCTCTTGTTGCCCAAGGTGGAGTGCAATGGCACAATCTCGGCTCACTGTAACCTTCGCCTCCTGGGTTCAAGCGATTCTCCTATCTCAGCCTCCCTAGTAGCTGGGATTACAGCCTTCCTAGTAGCTGAGATTATGCCACCACACCTGGCTAATTTTGTGTTTTTAGTAAAAACTGGGTTTCTCCATGTTGGTCCAGTTGGTCTGAAACTCCCAACCTCAGGTAATCCACCCACCTTGGCCTCCCAAAGTGCTGGGATTACTGGTGTGAGCCACCATGCCCCGCCTTGAAGAAAAAGAACAGAGCTTCAAAAATGCTTTGTTTGCCACATTTAATTATTTAATTTTGAATTTGTTTAAAAAACTATTTATTTATTTATTTTGAGATGGCATCTTACTCTGTTGCCCAGGCTGGAGTGCAATGGTGCTATCTCGGCTTACTGCAACCTTTGCTTCCTGGGTTCAAGCGATTCTCCTGCCTCAGCCTCCTGAGTAGCTGGGATTATAGGCGTGTGCCACCACGCCTGGCTAATTTTTGTATTTTTAGTAAAGACAGGGTTTCACTGTGTTGATCAGGGTGGTCTCTAACTCCTGACCTTGTGATCCACCTACCTTGGCCTCCCAAAGTGCTGGGATTACAAGTGTGAGCCACCGAGCCTGGCCTTTAATTTTTATTTTTATATTTTATTTTATTTTATTTTTGAGATGGAGTCTCACTCTGTCGCCCAGGCTGGAGTACAGTGAGGTGATGTCAGCTCACGGCAATCTCTGCCTCCTAGGTTCAAGAGATTCTTGTGCCTCAGCTCCTGAGTAGCTGTGATTACAGATGCGTCCCACCGTGCCCTGCTAATTTCTTGTATTTTTAGTAGAGACAGAGTTTCACCATGTTGGTCAGGCCAGTCTTGAACTCCTGACCTTAACTGATTTGCCTGCCTCGGCCTCCCAAAGTATTGGGATTGCAGGTGTGAGCCACCATGCCCAGTGAGTTTGACTTACTCACTGTGTGAGGTGGAATCACTGGTTTGAAACTGATGGGAATTATTTTTTTCTCCCGTTTTAGAACAGTCCAGATTGGAGCCCTAGTTGGTTCTTAGCTATCTGTCTATCTACGTATTTCTAGCTATCTATCTGGAAACAAGGTCTCACTGTGTTGACCAGTCTGGTTTTGAACTCCTGGGGTCAAACAATCCTTCCATATCAGGCTCCTGAGTAGCTGGGATTACATGCAGACACCACTGTACCAGCTCTATCTTATCTATATTTAATTGAGATTCTTGTATGTTATAATCATGAAAATGTTTCTGAATGTTTTTCTTTCAGAATGAAATTCACCAGAATTAGTACTCCCAAAAAATCCAAGAAAAAATCTAACAAAAGATCTGAGAAATCTGAAGCAACTGATGGAGATTTTATTTCTCAGACTAGAAAGGTAATTAAAATATTAGAGAGTCCTATAAGTGGCATTCTGTTTCCCTAAAAAACAAATAAAAGGCCAGGCACAGTCGCTCATGCCTGTAATCCCAGCACTTTGAAAGGCTGAGGTGAGCAGATCATGAGGTCAGGAGATCAAGACCATCCTGGCTAACATAGTGAAACCCCGTCTCTACTAAAAGTACAAAAAATTAGCCGGGCGTGGTGGCGCGCGCCTGTAGTCCCAGCTACTTGGGAGGCTGAGGCAGGAGAATCGTTTGAACCCAGGAGGCAGAGGTTGCAGTGAGCCGAGATCATGCCACTGCATTCTAGCCTGGGTGACACAGCGAGACTCCATCTCAAAGCAAAAACAAAAATAAGATACCAAAAAACCCCACATTACTATTGGAAGTACTGAGCCAAAAGAAAATTCGTGTATTTCATAAATTGGTTAACTACAACCCTATGATAGTTTTCACTATTATCTCTTTCCTCTGGTTGATTAAGATACCTTATTGTGAGGTGAAAGCAACTGATAAAGGCAGAGTATAATTTACTTATGAAAAGCTTTCTTAGTGAGTTTATATTGTGATCAGTTTCCCTAACACTACCGATCTTAGTTTGGGCTGCTGTAACAAATTATTGTAGACTGAGTGGCTTAAACGACAAATATATTTCTCACAGTTACTGGGATTGAGAAGTGCACAATCACACGTCAGCTGATGCAGTGTCTGATGAGGTCTGCAGATGGCCGTCTTGTTTTCTCACATGGTACAGAACATGTAGAGAGAGGGCTCCACCCTCATGACCTCCTAACACCATCACATAAAGGGTTAGGATTCCAACATACGAATTTTCAGGAGATACATTCAGTCTGTCACAGTACCTATAGGTCATGATTGATTTTTTGGCTTATTTCTGTTGATTAGAGACTCAAAAACAGAGTTTCTCAACCTTGCTATTATTGACATTTTGGCTGGATAATTCTTTGCTGTGGAGGGCTGTCCTGTGCATTTAGCAGCACTCTGGCCTCTATCCATAAGATGCTAGTAGCATCCCAAGTAACTCCCGTATTATGACAACCAAAAATGTGTCCAGTCATTGCTAAATATCCCCTAGAGGGGAAAATGATCACTTCCACTTGAAAAATGACAGATCTAAAGGGAGAAGTAAGATACATAAGAATGGTTTAGTTGTTCTGCAAAATAAGCTCCTTGTCCCCACCAAGGCAGAATTGGAGTAGGTACAGGGTATGTGTGTTTCAAAAAAGCCACCAAGGTGACTCTGAATTAATCCTTGGGTGAAAACCACTTTCCTTTGCTTTTATTTAACAGCTGTCATTTTTGACATCACATTCTAGGCACTGTGCTTAGTGCTCAACATCATTAATCTCATAAAGTAAATATTATTTAACCCTGTTTTGTAGATGAAGAAACTTGCTGTTAGTTCATAGGATAAGGAAAAGACTTTTATTTGTGACTCTGGGAAGTCTCTTTCCTAGGGTTACACAACTGTAAGTAGTTAGAAAGATGGTCTGTAGTCTTTGGGAAAACATGCAAGATTCCAGCTGATTGTACCACAGCTAAAGGTTAAAAAGTTCTCTGTGGTGAACTTTGTCCCATATATTTTATTTTTCTTAATTCTAGAAGACAGCTTCAACTTTAATTTTTTTAGAGATACGTCTTGGTTTGCCTCATGTACTACTTAAAATTGGGATTTAATAGTAAATTTTCCAGCAACAGAAGTCTCAAAATTAAATGTATCCAAATTAGGACCTTTATCCAAACTTAGATCAGTTATTTTGTCTCAGTCTGTTAATGAACCTCTTACCACAGGGCCCTTGTTTACTGAAGCCTTATCCAGGCTTGTGTACTAGCTCTAGGAGAAAATCTTAGTAATTTTCTGGGTGAGATTTTCCTTTTTTCTTTTTCTTTTTTTTTCCATTTGTTATTTTGTAGAGACAAGCTCTTGCTATTTTGCCAAGGCTGTTCTCAAACTCCTGAACTCAAGCAATCCTGCAGCCGTGGACTCCCACAATGCTGGTATTACAGGCATGAGCCACTGTGCCTGGCCAGATTTTTCATGTTTCTGTGAGAATAAGGAGTAAACTGGTTCTCCTAAGAACCCCATATTGATAACAGTTTATTGTTTATCTTTGCAGATAATA